CTGCTTGGGTGGCCAGAAAACTGAGGCTAGATAAGCTATGGACCTAGGGGAAAACCAAATACTGTAGAGTTCTACTAAAGGAACACAGCAATAAAACAACTCCTAATGACATTCTGCTGTACCTACAAATCAATGCCCTTCAGCCATCATCAGAGAAAGCTCCTTCCTGTAGTACATGAGAACTATAGAGACTCATGACTGGACAACATGCAGCAAGACCTTGGAATGATCAGTCCAAAATGGGATGTGTCCATCATCTCCCTCCCCTCAGGGTACAGGGAACTCTCAGAAGAGACCGAAAGACTGTAAGAATCAGAGGGGATGGAAGACACCAAGGAAACTGTCTTCCAGACGCAACAGGGCTAACACATATAAACTCCCAGAGACTATGGCAGCATGCAATAGGACTCGCACAGGTTCAAGCCAGATGGGGTCCCAGTGCTGAGGGGGAAAGTGGACACCAGCTCAGAAGCTATCTCCAACTGACCACTGCTTGCAAAGGAAAAATTAGTTTCTCCGATGGAGTCTCATTGAGAATATAAATCACACTTAAGGGAGGTCCCATGCCTGACACAAAATGAACTCAACGATGTTTTCGTAGATTTTTTTTTTTTTTTGGTCTCTGTTTTGTTATTTTCTTCAGCCTGATATTTTGCTTGTATGATATGGTTTCATATACTTGTATATTATGTTTTCTTGGGTTTGTGTGTATGTCTCTGTGTTTCTCATGCTTTTAATTTTTATTTCCCTTTTAATTTTTTTTGCCTGTTTTCTCAAGAAAAAGAGAGGTGTGGTGTTGGATGGGTTGGTGGTGGTTGTTGGAAATGGCTGGGGAGGATATGGGTGGAGATGAGGGTGGGAAAACAGTGATCAGAATATATTGTATGAAAAACATTTATTTATAAAAAAATACAGTTGGAGAGATGGCTCAGGAGATAAAGTGCTTGTGGTACAAACCTGACAATCTGATTTTGGTTCCCGGGACCCGTGGTAGAAGGAGAGGACTGACTTCCACATGTTCACCATGAAATATGCACCCGGTATCCCCACCCCATAAATACATTGAAAGGATAAAGCTTCGAACTGCTTTTCCTTCTCCCTGTGGCTGTGGCTGCACTTTAAACTACTAGTGGCCTGGCTGGTCAGGCCATGGCTTGGGGGGAATTGTGTTCCTCCAGGTAATGGTTCTGTTGCTGCCGATAAAGGCAGTTCTAACTAAATCTCTGTCATCTAGTAAAACTCAAGATTCAAAGGCTAGGGTGAAAATCTGCAAGCTCAGCCAGTTAGAGAAGCAACTGGCTAAATTTCTCTCTCCTTCCACACCGCCCCAACTAAAAGACCCAAGCATCCCTTCTCCCTTCTACTTCCTGTCAACCAGCTGCTAACCCTGCCTCTCTGAGCCCAGGTTAATTTTATTTAATGCAAATGCAACACATCTTTACATAGTTAAACAAATGCAGGAGAAAAATATGTAACACATCATTACCTAGTTAAACAAATATCCAGTGGATAAAGTGCTTGCTGTGTCCTGAGTTCACATCCCCAGTGCCCATCTGTAATCCCAGTGTCCTATAGTAAGGTTTGAAGTGGAGACAGGATACACAGAAACGTGAGGGTCAGTCACCTACCCCAGTACACATAACAGTGAACAAGAGACTGTCTTTCAATGTCTGAGGATGTCCTCTGACCTCTACACAAGTGCCCTGGATGACTACATTGCCACTCACACATGAACATGCACGTGCATACAAAGACCACCACAGAAGCAGTGGTTTTAAGGTAATGTGAGCATCAGTGAAACCATTTGGACATTCTTTTGTTGGTACTTGTCTTTGTTATATAATGGATGATCCTCCAAAGATAGATAGCAGAGAACAAAGGAAACAATAACCCTCCAGCTTTGAAAGAATTACATCTCAAAAGTCACTAGCCATCAGTGGGCAGATGCACCGAGAGGTGGAGGACAGAGATCATCTCTGGCAGCCCTCTCTCACCTGCTGCTGTGGAGCTGTGCAGAACGTATCACGCCATCCTCAGACTCTGCTTACTCTAGACTGTCACAGTGAAGGGCACATGGTCCCTTACATGCTCACAGACAGCTATGAAAAAGTTTTCTTCCCTAAATACTTTAAATCTAACTGAACAAATTCGGGCCATTTGTGAGTAAGTGGCATCATAGTAAGTGGCATGACACATGACATGGGCCACATATTCTGGAAAGCAGGGAGCCTGGTATGGAGCAAGGGAGGGATGTCCTCCCAGAAATGGTTGGCTAGCAAAATTAGGAGGAAGGTCTCATTGTCCACAGAGTTGCACCCTGAACTCAGATCCCCTCTGAGGCAGGCGGAGGTACATGATCTGTTACGACAGAGGGACATACATGGAGCACATGGGACCTCCACTAGCGTGGTCCATAATGGCCCAGTCTCACAGTAATTGCCTCAACTTTTGTCCAGTTTTTGCCATTGTCCTATAAAAGCTTTTTCCTCTTAGACACCCCTCCCACTCTGGATTTTCTCTTTTTACTTTCTCCCATAATTTTCCTAGGTAAAGCTTGCCTCCACTTTGTTTATGCCCACAAGTGTCTGTGTATCTTTAGTTTTTACCAGCATGAGATTATGGACTTGTGAGCCATTGTCCCAGAGCCATCTTTGTTGACTATGTCTGTCTGGCACCCTAGGTCTTTGAGTCAAGAACAACTGTGCCAAGAAAGGTCTTTCCCCCTCATGACCCTTCATCAGTAGGGCCTAGCATAGCCAACATTAACAGTTAAGACGTCAATGGAGTCCTTCCATTACATAAAACAAGTACAACACAGATGCTTCATTAGGTACTGCAAAATTAAACGGGAAACTCACTGAGTTTGTAAGAGGCCAAACCAAGCTCCCAACTGAGATGCCAGAAACTAAGATTATCTTGGGTATCCTTGTCCACTCACCCTCATGGACTCAGTTGGCTACAAGGGCCTTTCCTTTCCTGGCTCCTGTTTTTTTTTTTTTTAGGAAGAGGGGCAGGTCTACAGAAACAAACCTCAATCTATACAGCTGCCATAAAGACAGGCAGACATGGACAGCACAACCTTCTAGAAGCTGTCTGGGACCCTTGGGAGGTGTTACCTTTGGAAGTAGATTTGCCCTGTAGGACTAGTCTAACTTCTGATGACACTCAACCTCATGGGCTCAAAGAGTCATGTCCTGGTAGGAAGACTTTTTTATACGGTGTAAGCTACACCCACAAACCATCTTCCTGGGAATGACTGCCTCCTTTTCAGGATCATACCCTGGAACATTCTGTTCTCTACCAGTGACAGTTTTCCATGTCACTACTTCAGCATTGACCAGTTAAGGGGGGGAGGGGGAAAAGGGGGGCATGACAGATAGGACACAGGACATGGGGGAGGACCACATGGACCTCTGTCCGAGTTTCCCAACTGTTTGTGTCATCTTGGCCTTTTTGTAAAGAGAGTTCTTTGGATTAATCTGTAAGTTCACAAGTAAGGTCATGATATGTTTTGTCAATCCACCTTCCTAGCCCAAAGACTTTTTAAATTTTACTGTTTCTTTTTTTAGCCCAATGATTAAAAATCTAAATTCACTTGAGAGTCAGCCACACTGGTATACATCCACAGTCCCAAACACCCCAAGCAACATGGCAGGAACCCATGTAGAAGAAAACAAATAAACAACAACAAAACTCCCACAGGCCTGGCAAGATGGCTCAGCAGTTAAGTGCTATTCCTGAGGACCTGGGTTCAAGTCTCAGTACCTACATGGTGGCTCATAACCATCATTAACTTTAGACCAGGGGATCCAATGCCTTCTGGCTTCTGTGGGCACTATACACATTTGGTACAGCCATATATGCAGGCAAAATATCCACATGAATAAAATAAAAAAAGGAAAAATTTTTGGTTCATTCTTCTTTCATAGCAATTTGTTTTAGATAGAAAAAAATGTCATCTCCAATCTAACTAGCTTGGTAGCTTTGACTTCATCTGCTTAGGCTAAAATATCCTCTGTACTTCATCTCCCCACTAATACCTTCCCTAGGGCAGGGGCCTAGAAGCATGGTGTATTAATGCACAGAGGCAGAGAACCATGGGGATCACTTCCTAGTCTGGTGACCAGAGCTGGGGCTGGACACCTCTCTCCAGGAGAGCTGTTTCTGCTCTCCTGACTCTGCCCTATTACAAAAACCATTATTAAGTATATACTAGGGTCCAAATACTGTTTTAGATAAACTAGTTTTTAGAAAAGCTCCTGTTCTTCTGGAGCATCCAGACAACAAACAAGGACATGGACCACTCCAGAGTGTGAGTGCTGTGTGGTGACCTCCCAATCAGAACACCCCCTTCTGTAGGGAGAAGGCTAAGAAAACTTGTAGACTCAGGAAGTTTAGAAAGCTACAAAGCTGGTGCAGCTCCCCTCCCCAAGGCTAGACATGCAGTACAGTTGCTAGGAGGAGACTAGTAGAGCTGCTCCAAGTTGACTGGGAAGCTCCAAGCATGCTGGACGTAAGTAGTCATATGTGCTGGTGTGGGTGCCTGGAAATATAGCTATACTAAACCAGACCTGAAGAGTTTCTTTGGTCTGTTGTTTGGCATCCTATCTAGAGTGAATGAACTGTTCATATCTTCCATAATAATGAGGCAAATAAAACACAAGGATAAATATCAATGTAGAGAGGGGCCCCTAGTCTAGTGTTCAGATTTCTCTGATAACTAGCCTTGTGTGGCTCCAGGAAGCCACTTCAGACAAGGAGAGGCGAATACAGCAACTTGAGCAGCTGAGGGTGCATGGGCTGCAGTGCTCAACCCTACACAGTGTACAGAGGCTTGAGCCGGACTGAGGCAAGAGGGAGGCAGGAGAAATATCTGCATGGTAAACCACTACACCACTGCTGCAATAAGAGGGCAGGAGAACTGCTCATCAAACTAAATGGCATAAACACTTCACAAATCAAAGTCCTGTTAGCTCAACATAACAAACGCCAAGGTGAAATACAGGTGACCACTGATCAACACTTTAATTCATTTCAAACAAAAGAAACATTACTATATGCAGACCCTGTTCAAGTTTAACAGGTTAACAATACCTAGGCAGGGAATACTTGGAAACAGCTTCCTGCTTGTTGAATTTCACATTGTTCAGAATTATTCAATACCTTTATGTAGTGCTGACCACAAAGTTGCAGTTTGGCTTTTTCACTCCACGTTCTCAAGAATTAGCAAAATGTCAGTCACTGGGTAATAGAAAGTGACAAATTTCATATCTGACTGTTGGAAAGTCTTCCTCAAATATAAAAAGCCACATCCTGCCATGCTTGAAGGTCAGTTCACTCACTTGTAGTGCCTACCAACTATTAAATCATACAGCTGCTCCAGACCCCAGGGGCCCACCGGCTCCAGTGTGCTTACAAAGCAGTGAAGAGACGACACAGGGTAGTGCAGTTTCTAACAAGCAGACAGTGTCCTCATACAGCACTGTTTCTAAGAGTACAGCATGAAAAGACAGACAGCACCATGTCAGGGCAGACTGAGGACAGAAATACACAGGGGCTTCCAGGCCACACGGTCCATTTTCTGTCCTACTTCCTCTTGATGTTTATAGTTCAGTTTCACTCAAGTTTTAAGAAGCCAGACTCTACTGTCAGAAAGAGATCTTTACTACATTTTCATTTCCTCTGAACTCTCAGTCTGATGAATGTCACTAGCTCTACTTAGCAATAATGGAATGGAAAGTGGCACTGATACACAGCCTCTGCTCACTTATTCAACATGGATGGATTTCTAATTTCTCTTTTTTATTAATAAAGGTAACTTTTAACAGTCACAATTGAAATAAAATGTATCAAAGTTTCACAACTCCTAAATTTTACTTAGCTGCGTTATGACTGTACATGAATAGGACTGAGTTTCCTCCTTGCACAATTAAGTATTTTAGCATTACAAACACCAGCAGCCTACATCCCTGAAACTCTACTACAATATGATCTAAATATGCCAGAAATTCTATTATTGGCTCTATTTTTAAAGGACTACGATGCAATTATGTACAGTATACAAAGTTTGTCAAACAGGATATACATGGTCTTAGGCCATTACTACTATTTCATTCCAATTTGGATTTAAATATAATCAACTTACAGATCTGAAATAAAAGCATTGCTTAATGGTTTCAGATGCATTTTGGTACTGAATGTTTCAAGGCATCTTTAGAAATAAATTAAGACTGTAATGAAGTAATCTGTGTCTACAGTTGCTTACAGACAGCAGGATGAAATGTGACCTTAAACTTTAACTGTTATTGACAAGTCTATGAACTACGTCCTAACCACTTCTAGTTTAAAACAAGCAAAACTAATAGCACAGAGTACTTATAATATAACCTTAATGGTCTAACAGACCTTCCAAATGGAAGGAAATACAAAATAAAGTTCACACATCCAATTTAGTTTGAACTGATACACTTCAGCATCACAGATTTATCAGGTCAGTTCGCCAACTTCGGGCTAACTCACCTCATGTACATTAAGTGGGTTAGCTTTCCGTGGCTAATGTGAGGTTTCAGAGATCTCTGCAGCAGCCAGAGATACAGTGACAAACTGCGGCTGTACTGACCCCGCTTTCTGCTCTTTAACACTGGTATTTCAGGGGTTTCCTTGCTATAATGCACCTGAATATAGACAAGCTCCTTGGCGATATACAGCTAAACCAAATGAAGAGTATTAACCTCCTAGACATGGGCTCATATAGGAAGTATTTTGTTTACTAAACTGAAAAGTTAACTTTTAAAAATATCTGCAGTCTTTGAAATGCAAGGCACCAGCAGGAGCGTACATTCCAGCAAGAGTGACTGACTGGGGGCCACGGAGCCGACAAGTCTGTTCTCTTCTGTTGGTCAGAATACTTCCTTTTCCTGTCTATGCAACGTCTTCCAGATAATCCGCCACATCACTGAGCTGGGAAACAGTCAGGTCCTGAGTGAGGTCATCGAGCTTTGTTGTCCAAAACAAAGAAAAGAATCAGTCTACAACACAGTCTGAATCAATCTGTAAAAGCATATTGTTATAATTGATTTATCTTCTGTAACCTGCTGAGAACGGAGTTAACAGGAGAAGGGAGGGATAGGGACACACAATACTGAGTGAAAACAGGTTCCTCTCCAAATGCTTTGACACTCACTCTCTTAAGATTCATTTGGCCCTTTACACTTTCCCATTTTGTTATTCTTTGGATAAAAGGAAATATCAGAAATAAAATCATTTTAAATACATCATGCTCGTTCCTCCTTCCTGGTCAAACATTAGTCTTAGTATACAACTATCTGTACAAACACAATTATTGGGAACCTTAAAGTCATTACAATTCTTTTGAAAGCTGTTTTCTTCCCCCAGTTGATTTTGTTCCCTTTGATTTTTTGTTTTTTGAGACAGGGTTTCTCTATGTAACAGTCCTAGCTGTCCTGGAACTCGCTCTGTAGACCAGGCTGCCCTTGAATTCACAGAGATCCGCCTGCCTCTGCCTCCCTGGTGCTGGGATTAAAGGCCTCGCCACCACCACCTGGCCCGAATCATTACATTTTAAAAAATGAAACTCAGAAAAGCCCACATACTGAGAACTTGGGCTTTTTTACTCTCACCACTATAAATAATGAATTCATTAAGGTATTGCATTTTATTTGCAAAACAATTGAATCCTGTATTAATGCTAACTTTAGACTAGAGGCAAGAAAGAAGAAAACCTATGGATAAAAAGTGACCTTTCACAATCTACAGTTAGCTGAGGAGCTTTTAGTGTTGATATAAAGCAAGGGAAGACCACAGCAAATGGGACTGTTTTTTGTTTCTATTTTACAGTGTGCTTTAATGTACAGCAATGCTGCTGACTTTGTATGACTTTGTGCCTATGCTCAGTCTGTTAATCAGTTCTAAAAGCTTCAAGGCAGACTCCTTCGTATTTTATATGTATTTTGATAAAGCTAGTCAAATGTCAATTTGACTTCTTCCTTCCCTTTTTCTAGCCTGATTGCTTTGGTTAGGACCTCCTGCACTATGCTAAATCAAAGCACTGAAAATGTTGAATATTGTGAAAATTTGAAAACCGGTAGTTGTTCAGAATTCTCATTTTCCTCTCTCCCTCTCCCTCCCAGTCAGTGCTACCTGCCGCTAGGGATCAAACCCAAGGCCACATGCTTGCTACACAAGTGCTCACTGCTAACCCTTCATCTGTTCTGAAACCTGTGATATTACCACGAAGCTGACCTCCAACATAAGTTACATCACAAACAATCCTCAGTAGTTTTTAGTAAGAGCTCACATTGTTTGCCTCTTACTGATGACAAATGGTGAAAAGGCGAGAGAAGGGCCAAATATTTGCTTATATACTGGGTTAGTAATTAGAGATGATCTCTTACCTATTGTCATTTAAGTATCAATACTTTCACCTTAAAAGAAACTGAGATGAAGCTAGGCATAGTGGTACACACTTTTAGTCCCAGCACTTGGGAATTGGAGGTAGGAGGATCTCTGTGAGTTTGAGGCCAGCCTGGTCTACAGAGTAAGTTCCAGGACAGACAAACCAAACACCAACAGAAAACCCACAAAAGAGACTGAGACGAAAGCCTCATGCTTACCTAAGACACCTGAAAGATGGAGGCAGGAGACTTGGTTCAAGTTTGAGGCCTTCCTAGGCTACATACTGAGTTCAAGGCCACCCTGGGACTTATAACCAGGATCTTCTCTCAAAGAATCCAAACCAGAAAACGAAGACACTTAATCTGAACACAGCCTACATCCCCTCATCTGGAAGGGAGGCAGCAGCCGTCTCCTAGCCGCACTGCACTCAGGGGATGAAAGGCAGACCTGTCAGGCTGCCAACAACAGAGGCGTCATAGCTCGTCTCGTCTCTACTCCATGAAAAGCTCCACTGTGGACTTTACATCAAAAGGCTTTCAAAGCAAAGCCAGCTGCTCTCTTGCCTTCTGAAGCTCTGCCTCAACCTTGCCTTGGCCAGCCTGAAAGGATCAGATTTCCCATGGACACACCCTCACTTTTAACTCCAAGTGAGACACATTTGATGCCACCCTTAACCCAGGCCTGCCAGAGTACAAATACCAAATAATGACAGCTGTGAGTCACATATCCTTCAAGGTTTTCTTCAGACTTAGACAAGGGAACTATCATGAACTTTTTCTAATTTTCAACCATTTTTTTTTAAACTAGTCATATAAATTTGCTAAGCCTCATAGCAAATCAACAAGTCAATAAATGGACAGAGGCACCCACAGACTGTGCTAGCACCTTACTTTATCACTGGTGTTGACATCGTCTACTCCCATGGAAAGGTCTTCTTCAATTTCTTCACCAATACTTAACTCACTTCTTTCTGAGCGATGGCTGGCACTAATGTGGAGAGGGAAAAAATGAAAATGAGCTCTAAAGTATAACTGCCATGGAAAAGTATAGTTTCCAGAGATTTTAACCCTATAGGTAACATGCAACATTAAACGTCAATCTCATATACATCATCTAGGAAAACTCACAAGGCAACAATGGCTATCACACAGAAAACTTGCATTTCTCAACTGTCACTCACCACATGCTATTCTTAGCTCTAAAATACAGTACAATAAATTACTGTAATAAATAGACATTTCTAATCAAGAAACTGTCAAAATTCGAGGCATATAATTTAAATTTTCTGATTACATCTATAACAAATATTACTTTCATATTAGTAGGCAATTCATAAACTTACCTCCAACAAAATGTTAAGTAATGTCACGTTGAAGAAGGCAGTTTTGTTTAACACAAACATAGACAATGTCCACCACAAAGACAAAAGGACACAAGAAAAGTCAGGATAAAGGCCGGGCGTTGGTGGCGCATGACTTTAATCCCAGCACTCGGGAGGCAGAGGCAGGTGGATCTCTGTGGGTTCGAGTCCAGCCTGGTCTCAGAGCGAGTGCCAGGATAGGCTCCAAAGCGACACAGAGAAACCCTGTCTCAAAAACCAAAAAGTCAGGGTAAGCTACTGACTTGGTTTCAAATTAACAGGCCAATCCCAGGTTCATTTCTTTATCTTACTATTTCCAACTTTCCCAACACAACATACATATTCGTCTGTATTCTAATGTAAGAAGTTGTCACTCCAAAACGTAATTTTGGTTGAACTATCTGTTTGTTCTTTCAGTCAACATGAATAAGAGAATCAAAGACAAAGTAAATCCTAATGTAATTTTGCCATGCCTGTATGCAGAAAGTATTTAAAAAATTTTCATAGTCACTTCAAGGTTTTTCTTACCTATTAAAATCATCAACATAATCTTCATCTTCTCCAGTTCCTGGCAATCAGTTTAAGAAAAGAAATGTTATTACACACAGGAAAATACTTGTTTTAAATAAGTGTGTTCCCTGCCAAAACAATACATTACTGAATATTACTTCATGGAAAACATAAGTACCAAAATAGTATTTAAAATTTTTTGAGATTTATTTATTTTTATAGGTATGAATATTTTGCCTGCATATATAGTATGTATGTATAACATGTGTGTGCTTGGTGCCCTAGGAAAAGAGTCTTGGAGTTCTTGGAAGCAGAGTTACAGATGGTGGTGAACCACCATGTGGGCACTGTGAAATGAACCTGGTTCCTCTGCAATAATAACACATACCCCTGACCACTGAGCCATCAGCAACAACAACAACAACAAAAATTGCAGTCAATCAACCCTTCAGTAGTATTTTTACACTGCATAAAAAGAAGGAAAATAATAAAAGCTGTTCAAGTGATTCTACTACATGCTAAAAAATAAATACCTTTTTGTGTTCTAGATTCAGGAAGGTGGCAACTCACAGTGATTAGTCCCATGACCTAATGAAGCACAGCTGGGGTGGAGCTCAATGGCAGAACACTTGCTTAGCATATTCATGGACCTGGGCTCTATCCTCATCATCACAAAAATAGGACAAGTGACACACAACAGTAAGGCACCACCAACTTCTTTAGTCACCTTTTTTCCAACTGCCATGCCTTTCAACAAGCAAGTTTGTTCAAAATGTAAAAACAATCACAAGGTGTGAAGAGGCAATAGAGCATGTGGGCCCATCACTTGGAAGGGGCCCTTGGCACCCTTTTATGGGCGTGTCCAAGCATAATCAGGTGCCAACCACAAGCTCTGAATTCACAAGAGGTTCCAAATGCAAAGTGGCCACAGGAGGAAGAGTTGTTACAATGCAGAAGTGCCTCAAGCTTCCTCACATACACAGGGCTGAGGGGAGCACCTACAAGAAGCAACCTACATCTCTCAATGACAACTAACAGCAAATTACCTATAATAACAACAAACACCACAAAATATGTGCTGGGAACTGCATGTGGTTTGCAAAGCCTGAACTTGCTACTCTATTGAATTTGTTATAGTTTACAACTCTTGCCTGTTGTAAACTTTTGTCTCTATCTTTACTACAAATCACATATATTTATGTAATGTACAGCCTGTCTTAACATGTACAGTGTAAAATAATTAGCACAGTACAGCTTGTTAATACTTCAAGTCATGCATTTTTAATTAAATTTTGTGGCACGAACACAAGATCTCAGAAAAATTCAAGTATTTAATATACTATCCTAACTATAGTCACCATGCTGGATGTTTAATCTCTAGAAGGGGTCGTCTGTCTAGCACAGTCTCATTATGTAGACTGGCTGGCCTCAAACTCAGAGATCTACCTGCCTTTGCTTCCCTAATGCTAAGATCAAAGGCGTATGCCACACCAGCTCATTTGCCTACTTTTAATTCTTCCATTGAAGCCAAAATAGATTGGGTTCTGAAGCATTATTTGTAAATTGGTTCTATGCAATCCAATTTTGTTTCCCACTGGAATGGTATTTAAATGATGTCCAAGGATAACACAGTGGCTGAAGACCCTGAGTAATAAATACACCCAGACTCTAGCACTTGTGTTCATCATATGTAAAACAGAACACAACCTGCTTCCCAGGATAACATCAAAAGCAGTTTCTTCCTAGGGTGAGAGGGCACACCACTGACACTGACCTGCATGAACTCAGGACACATCTATGCTTCTCAGAGTATCTACAATCTTGTCATGCACAGTTACAGCAACAACAAAGCTCAAAAGACTACTCTGTAGAGCCATCACACCAGACTATTCATTTCTACTCAATCTGGGAAGTGCTGTGCTTGCCCTGTACAGCTACCCAAATCTCAACTCAAAAGAGGTGTGCCCAGAGGCCAGCAGAGGGCGAGATGGAGCAGTGACCTCCCCTCTCCTCCTCTCCCACAGCCTTTAGTCAGTTCCACCTTACCAGCAGAGTAGGGAACCCACACTTTCATCAGAGAACAGGAGCAATGACAAGGGAAGCCCAAAGGCTTGACACCAGGTGAACCACCACCAGGTGAGACAGGAATGAAGAGGGAAGAACAGCACCTGAGGTGTCATGTTCAAGGAAGGGGCAAAGACTCCTGCAGTGCAAGTGTAAAGGGCTTCCCAGTAGGTGTGAACACATCTCATGGGGAGGAAGCAGGGAAGGAGAGTAGGCCCACCTAGCTGGCCAGCCAGCAACCAGGAGGCACAGCAGTTACCAGGGTTCCAGGGCAACCAGCAGCTCAGGGAACATCTATTCTTCTGCAAATGGCTACAAATGGGGAAGAAAGTAACACAAAAGGAACACTAGCATTTGAGACACCCCTGAGCCAGGCACTGTACTTCTATGTATGCAGACATGTTTAAATCCTATTTTCTCAGGGCTGGAGAGATGGCTCTGAGGTTGAGAGCACTGACTGCTCTTCCAGAGGTCCTGAGTTCAATTCCCAGCAACCACATGGTGGCTCACAACCATCTGTAATAAGACTTGGCGCCCTCTTCTGGCATGCAGAATAATAATAAATAAATCTTTAAATAAGTAATAAAAAATAAAATAGAAATAATAAATAAATCTTTTTTAAAAATCCTATTTACAGCTGGGCCTTGGTGGCACACGCCTTTAGTCCCAGCATTCAGGAGGCAGAGGCAGGAGGATTTCTGTGAGTTCGAGGCCAGTCTAGTCTCCAGAGCGAGTGCCAGGATAGGCTCCAAAGCTACACAGAGAAAACCTGTCTCGAAAAAACAAAACAAAACAAAACAACCCCCCCCAAAAAAAAAACCACACACACACACACAAATCCTATTTACTCTTCAAAGTGAGGTAATGTTATTGGACCCACTTAACAGAGAAGCACAGGGGACCCCAAGTCAGGGCTATAGCTGGGATGTTCATGTAAACCTACCTACCCACTTTTCCCCTGGGTCCTGTGCACTATATCCAGGGTGTTTGGTTAGAAACAGGAGGGCAGTCTGTACTGTCCCATGCCATGCCCATGTTCACAAAGTACACAGGAAACATGGTACTTTCTCCCTGGTCTACCCGAGAAGCAGTGCTCTCAGACAGAGCAACCTAGCATCACATCACATCCATAGAGGACACCCAGCTTTACCACTTCCTTCAGGTCAGTGAGAGAGGAAGGCTCTGAGGCCATCCTGTGACACCTGTTTGCAGTGTGCCCAGAACTCAGTTTTGTGTACACTGACTCTTCCTCCCATAGGAGTCTGTTTACTTACATCTGCTCCAAATAATACAACAGCCCATGCCACAGCTGAACTCTCACATCTGAGCCCTGTAGCAGACGGATGGACTCCCTGTGGTCTGGGTGCTGAACTCACAGCACCCAGAGAACAGCTCGGTTGCTGTCACCACTTCACCCATGTTCACTGAAACCTTTGTTATACAGCTCTATCTGGATCACCAGGCCCAGCCACAGCCTCTTCCAGAGGCCTTCCTCAAAAGCCCAGTCCAGGGCCTTCCCCTACCACAGTCTGGACATGAAGACAAAGGATGGTGCAACTTGTTGCCACCGTCCCCTGGCACAGGGCTAACTCTGGATGCATACTAACTCTCCAACACCTGCTGAATGACAGCAGGACGGTTCTTCCATGTAGACCTGGAAAAGGTTTTCAACAACCACACTAAAACTGAAATACAGTTACCTAGCCCAAGTGATCCGATTTTCTCACTGACCAACTTCAGATCCTTTAGGACGGTGCTTCCTCTTTTACCTGCAGATGGGAAAGAGCACTGTGTGAAAGAATTCAGGGCAACATTCTCTAAGCCACACCAAGCATTTACACCCTAAGAGTATGAAAGCCTAGAGTAAAATTATCAGTAGAGGCTACAATCATGTGTTATGGAGAGAAATCAGATCATACTATTCTTTATTAGAACACAACCACCAAAATAAAAATGCACACAAAACCTAGTACTGTGAACTCCAAGTGGACTACCTGAGGAAGTCCTGCTGATGCTCTGCACACCAGGTTAAATACCAGCTGACTATGACAGGGTGATATCCACATATGCTTTCCCAGGGTGAGGATGGGATGAGATGGGATGGCATAGTGCAGGAAGCTGGCTATCCTTTCACCTTGCTAGCAACCTCTCCTCTGTTCACATAAAAATGTCAGACACAAGTCCCTGATGTCAGAATGACTATGATGATCACTCTATCACAAAACTTCTTTTAAAATTTAAGTTATTTTAAGGGTTTATGAGGCATGACTTACAAGTTACAAATGTTTTCTGTCTTGGAAGGGGACAGCACCTAACACTCATCTTAGGTTGACAATACTCCTATGAAAACTCTACTGGAGATGCCTAACCTACCAGCCCAGCCCAGCCCAGCCCAGCCCAGCCCAGTCCAGCAGTACTCGGTAGAGGCTATTTACCTTCCCCAGTGATCATGTGGCTCATCAACATGTTGATAAAACACAGAGGGATGTGCATACTGCAGCCAGGGAAAACCAAGACTAAATTTGAAGTATTATGTATGACTTCTGTGTAAAATTTAGAAATTGTATATGTATACCTACTGATGGTCTAAAGCATTTAAAAAGTCAGCTTCCAAAAACTATGTTGATAGCATAGCAAAAAAGAATACAAATGGTGGAGAATACTGACTACATTAAGAGTGGCAAAATATTGTCCATCTCATTAAAATGGAGATTTTTCTAAAACAACAACCCCCCCAAACCAAACCAAACAAACAAAACTACAACAATAAAACCCCCAATCTATATTAATTGTTATTACATATGACTGGCTAATTTTTTTTTTTTTTTGACCTGACACAAATAATCACTTCCTTCCTCAACTTACTTTGGGTCATGGTATTTTATCACAGCAACAAACACCACACTTATCCGAAAAAAACAAACAACAAACAACAACAACTAACCTGGTAGAGTGATATCTTGTTTATATCCTAACAAATAAAGCTTGCCTGAAGATCACGTTGGGCGCCAACATGTAGCATGAGTTCTAATAGGTCTTAATAATAAAAGCCTGGAGTCAGATACAGAGGAAAATGCTGAAAGATCAGACAGACAAGGAGCAAGTCACAGCCACCTTTACCTCGCTAACTTCCCAGCTGAAAAGAGATTGAGCTCCTGTCTCCTCCCACCTCCTCACTTCCTGCCTATCTGTACTGACCTCCAGACCTCTACGGTTATCTAGTGGCTAGCTCTGCCCTCTGATCTTCAGGCAAGCTTTATTTGTTAGAGTATAAACAAGATATCATTACAACCTGGAGTATTCAAGTACTTACTCTCAGTATCTGTTAATGAAGGGGCTCCTGCCAGGGAGCTGAGACCACTCCTGAAGGGGGGTATGTCAGAGAGTGAGGCCAGACTTCCAACGTGCTTCCTAGGTTCATTTCTCCTAACAGGAAGCAATTAATAGTTAAATGATAATTTCAGGCCTTATCACTATAGTCTTTTATTCTGTAAACATAAAAAAGCAATTTAAATATGCATCTAATGGTTGACATGAAGATTTTACAGATTGAAAACCATACAGCACACCTACAGGACAATGCAGACTGCAGACGTGCAGTTACAGATGCATAAGATTGTCAGTGAAGCACCAGCTCCCCTAAATTCCCAACTGTTTACTATCTCTCAGCCAAGTGGACCTTCAACTATCTAGGAGCTCCTTCAGAAGCCCCCTCCATCTTTTGAAACACAAAAGACAGTACAAGAATCAACAAATAAGCATTTCCTCTCAAATGCATACTGTTCAGGAAGCGCAGAGCCCTTCTAACCTTCAGAGGCTGTTTCATCACAACTTCATGCATTCCAGTCAGCTCCGTCCTAACTTCCCAGGCACTGCCATCAGTGTCTACCCTGGCCACCCCCTCCATTCCATTGACAACTCCTCCCTGGAGTCTACCACAGGGCAGCACTCCAGCAATACTGTTACCTTATTCTAAATCCCCAGGTGTTCCCTTATATTAGCAAGCATCCACACATGCACAAACTGAAACTCTGATACAGCTCCTATCACACAGTGAGTACCTGATACAGACTCATCTGGTGAAAATGGCTCATCTGGTGCCTTCAATAATTCTGGCATTATTTTATAACATACTAGGTTTTACTGACACAAAACTAGGTTTATGGATTCAATAATTATATAGTTATTAGCAAATCATTAGTTTTAAAATATAAAATGAAAGCATTTTAGATTTTATTTTTAAATCATAAGTCAGATGATCCAAAGAAGTCTACTCACCAACCATAGGTTTTTTCTGGCTTAGGAATGGGATCATCAAAGAAAGAGTCTCCTTCTGCATCATCTTCCTCCCCACAAAGAACACCTTTGTCTTTTGCATCTAAAGTGCTGCTGCTCAAGAAGGACGCGATTCGTGTCTCCTGGGCCAGGGAGTGAAGGCTGCTCTTGCTCCTTGGCTCTGATAAGGAGATACTACTGGGCTCGCTCTGACTGCTCTCGCTGTTGGTCTTCTAAGAAAGATGGAGGGAGGGAGAGGTCTCCGTGGTGATAAAACTTCTAAGATATCTTAAACAATAGTCAACATAGGGGTGTGTGTGTGTGTGTGTGTGTGTGTGTGTGTGTGTGTGTGCGCGTGTGAGCACCTGTGCTTTCAACAGCAGGAACTACAGTGTCGTCCTATGCTTTCCCACTTCATTCCCAGGCTTCCTGACATGGACAGCTTTCCAATGGTAAAATGTTAAAGAAGATGTTTACACTATTTCTTTCCTTCTTTCTAAATGAAAATGTTTTTAGTGTGTATCCCACTTAGAAACTTTCTCATTTATAAATAGCTTTCCTTTTTCATCCTATATGTATGTATGTCACCGCTGCATAAAATATCTTAATACATTTTCAACTTGAAACCAGGAGAGAGCATTAAAGTTAAGAAGACTGTCACAAAATAAACTAAATTGCACTATTCATGAGAAGGGAGAGTAGTTTTCTACACAGCACCAATGAAAGCCTCAAGGTAAAAGCCATGACCTTTGAATGCTCACATTTCCAAAAAGCAGATCTGGCTATCACAATTACCTTAATTCAGGCTTGCTGGGCTATTTACTAATCCTGTACTTCATGTACATCCACAAGCAGGCACATAAATCTTAAACCAACACTAAAATTTCCTATTGAGGAAGCACTTCTATTCCTGCCCCACTGACAGATAGTAAGGTTAGCATGAACTATCAGTGTGTTTGGTTTACCCTGACGACCACAGCATAGTTTTAGTCTGTATCTGGCCTTTGTTTTTTGAGACAGGGTTTCTCTGTGTAGCTCTAGCTGTCCTGGAACTCAGTCTGTAGACCAGGCTGGCCTCGAACTCAGAGATTCACCTGCCTTTGCCTCCCAAGAGCTAGGATTAAAGGTGTGTGCCACCATTGCCTGGTTTTATCAAATAGTAACAAAAATAATGGCAGTATTAAGAGCAGTGACTGAAAATTACAGAAAATTCTCAAATGCTCACTCAATCTCCAGACTATGCTATGCATGTAGGATGTATTAGCTATATGGATTCAAAGGCAATGTATGTAACTTGCTAAAACCTCAGGTAGTTAAACTGCAAAATGAACGTCAGATTAGCTACCCTCTTTCCTCTCTTTTTGAGACATGGACTCATGCAGCACAGGTGGCCTTGAAGTGGCTGATTAGCTGAGGATGACCTTGAACCCCATCTCCTTGCTCTTGCCTCCCAATGACTGGAATTATATCACATCCAGCTGACGTTAGTTCTTAATACTCAGGCTATACCATTAGAGTGAGTTACATGAAACTGTATTTAATGTAGGCTGGATGCACAATTTGCAAAGGGCTGGTTCTTCATGTTACAGAGTGTGATGTCGTAACAGATTCCTGCAATGCCTGAGGTAAGGAACCTGGCAAGTGCCTGTTCTGGGTCATTAACTGTGTGATCTTACGGAATGTTTTCTGATATGACTTTCATCAGGAATTAAATAAGGTCAGTATGTGCATTAAGTTACAAACAGGCTGGGACAGAGCTCATTAGCAGCAAGGCAAGAAGCTGGGCTGTAAAGAAGTGGAGTAGACCAACACATAAGGCACTATGCAGGGACTGTTCTATGTTCCCACATGCAGAGAGCATAGCATGTCTTAGGATGCACACTTATGATTTTAGACCTGAGGCCTTGGTTAGTTTCCAGAGGCAAGTTTTAGGGACTTAAATGGAGCTATACAATCTATGGGCTATTAATAGTGCTAGACTAATGATCATAAAGAGATGTTCAGAAAAATAAATTATCCACGCTAATCTTTTAAACAATGTAGGCAATTTCCAAGGAGGTAGTTTAAAAATTTCCTTACAACTTTCTTCAAGTTCACTTGGTATTGTGAAATACAGAAGTATAATGTGTTTACATATACCTAAATTAGATTCACATCAGTTTCAATTGCTGATTTGAACAGTGCTCAAACTCACTTCCTAAAGCACACAGAAGTGAGTCCCCACAGACACAAATGATGCCAGAGCCTGTGTTGGGCAGGGAGGCAGAGACAGCCAGAGCCATAAGGTAAAGACCACTCCCCAGGCTTGCCTTCCACTCAATGCAGCCAAGAGAGACGCTTTCCTTCTGCCCTGACTGCAGACTGGGGAACAGGCCGTGGTTTCCATCTCCCAGCGTACGTAAACTTTGGTACAGAAGCTGAGGAAAGTCACAGCTGTCTGTTACATGACACTTGGCCTCGTCATTTTATAAGAGTTCAGGGACTTACTGAACAGCACTGCATCAGCCACTCCCTTCCAGGGAGCTCAGGATTAACAAACTGTATGGCAAATTATGATAAAAAGGTTTTCAAAATTTTAGTATAAATTTTTCCAATAAAACACAATCAAAAATTCAATCATTTAAAAATAAAAGAAAATGAGCATCAAAGAAAGGTTTCTCAAAGGAAAATACTATTTATCTAATAGCCAAAAATTGAATTATTGCTACAAAGTCTTTAGGAACCTGAAAGGGGCTTAGGTGTGGCTCAAAGGGAATAGGACTTGCTGGCACAGAGGCCTCAACTCTCAGTACTGAGGGGGGAAAAGGGATAATATAATTTGTGTTTCCAAAATAAAAGTTTAATGTGTACTATTCACAAGAAGACAAAATGTTTCAGTTTTACAAATATCTTCAAACCTTTACCTGCAGTATTTCTTTTCCCTACCCAGGCCTTGTATCACCCTCTGCCTTCTCTTCCTCCTCCATTCTGCCAAAGGCAACTTTTGATTCGTGACTTTTACTTATGAAGTTTTCTTTTATTACTTCTAATATTTACTAACAAAGTATTGAAAATTTTTATTACTATTAAAATGGGCACTAAACTTACAAAATTTAATTTGCTCCTCACAATGAATCTGTAAACCTCCAGTGTTCCCGTCTACAGCCATCTACGTCTTACACACACTTGGCAGAAACATGGCCTTCTGGAGCCATCACAAGACAGAACGGCTGGCCCCTGCATAGGTGTCTCAACCTTGTTCCCTCAGCTCTCTTGTCCCTAGCAGCTCACAGACTCATATGAGAGCCAGTGCCAAAGTTCAAATCCAGAAGCTCAAGAGATAGGGATCACTGGGCTAGGTAAGTGCCAGTTTCCAACTTTGTACCTACCATTCATGTTGGGGAATGAATAAATAGAAAGATAACACTCAATATAGAAAATCCTGAGGTGACAGCCACAGACACAAACAAACCTAGCCTGAAAGACACATACAATGTGATTGTGACCAATGTCCAAAATCAACATGAAGTTGAATTTATTCAAGAATTGTGAAAATGAATAATGACTTATGAAATGTCATAAAGTGACTCAATATACATTAGCCTGGAAACTAATGAAGGATAACTTCTCATATAAACATTAGCAGCAAGATACAAAGTACTTCATTCTAGAACCAAAGGTGCTTCAGGAAAGTGACTGCAGCAATCCTGAGGCTTCAAAGGTCCACCCCACCCTACCACAGTCAGAAAGTCAACAAAACCATCTTGGTTTGCTTTTCCCATCAAAGGTAAAGACCCCAAAATCCAGAACTTCTGTGAAATTTGCTGTAATTCCTTTCTGCTGAGTTTCTGAGACAGGGTCTCACTATATAGTCCAGGCTGACCTAGAACTCAGCACACAGCCCAGACTGGCTTTGAATGGTCAATCCTCCTGCCTATGATTTCAACAGCTGGGAAACAGGCCCACACCACTTCACCTGGCTGTTCTAGTTCTCACAGTCACCGTATTTTAAGGAACATTTTTTGTTAATTCTTTTGAGAATTTCACATAATGTATTTTGAACATATTCACCCTGCCTCTCCTCCCTTCCCATCCAACTGAGTTTCCTTCTCCCCCACTGCCTGCATCAAGTCCAGTATGTTGTCCAACTAGTCTTGGAAGTAGGGTTTCTTCATACTAATTTCTTAGACAACTGAGATATTATTTGGTGAACCAAAATGGTAATACAAAAATATAATTACAGGCGCTACTTAGTGTTAGTAGCTGGGTGTTGGTGGTGCATGCCTTTAATCCCAGCACTCAGGAGGCAGAGGCAGGCGGATCTCTGTGAGTTCGAGGCCAGCCTGGTCTCCAGAGCGAGTGCCAGGATAGGCTCCAAAGCTACACAGAGAAACCCTGTCTCGAAAAAACCAAAAAAATAAAAAATAAGAAAGTGTGAGTAGATGGTGCTAAGGCTCATGCTATTTACAGCCAGTGAAATAGATGTCTCAGCAGGCAAGCGCCTGCCCCAAGCCTGGCATCCCGAGCTCCATCCCCAGGACCCACATGATGAAAGAAGAGCTTACTCTTACGCTGTTCTCTGACTTCATGTGTACTGTGGTACATGTTCAACTATATGAACACACATAAATAGTTAAATGCAAAAAACAATCTAATTTATTAAAGAACTCATTTAATTTTTACCCTCTCTGTATTCTGAATCTATCCATTCTATTTTTTTTTTTTAGATTTTATTTATTTATTATGTATACAGTCTTCTGCCTGCATGCCAGAGGGCCCCAGATCTCATTCAAGGTGGCTGTGAGCCGCCATGTGGTTGCCGGGAATTGACTCAGGACCTCTGGAAGAGCAGTCAGTGCTCTTGACCACTGAGCCATCTCTCCAGCCCCCTATTTATTGTTTCTTAATAACAAGAACAAAGCCCCTTTACTGAAATTATTGCTTGAAAACCTTACACACATCAGTTACACTTACACATGCATGCACACAAGCACACACATATTTAAAACTATGCTGTTTGGTTTCCTGAGACAGGTCTCAGTATTGTAGCCCTGGCTGGCCTCAGAGTTGCCGCAATCGTCCGCTTCTGTCTCCCGAGTGCTGGGATTAAAGGCATGTGCCACCAATGCCTGGCTCAATGAATCTTAATAACACAAACTACAGATTAATATCCTTATATAAGTCTCAAGGTGTCCCACCTTTCCAGTTAGACAAACAAAGTCATCTTCACTATGCAAATGTTCCAAAAGTAGGTACTGGACAATGGAACATCTTTTCATTGAACAATGCATGAAGAAGAGTGATTATAAAGAGAGTTTGCCTTTGAAATCATTATAACTCAAAAACCAGTTAACAGAGAAAAATGTAAGTTAAAAAATAAAAGCCTTTTTTATTTTTGAAGTTTTAATTTAGGAAAATGTCTAGGCATCAGACTCCACACAGGACTGAGGGACCTCTGAGAACTGATTTCTTTCTTCCTTTTTTAAAACACCACACTCCTTTGCATCTATTTCTTTTTTTCATTATTGAGGACTGAGACTGAACCTGGGGCTTAGTCCATGCCAGTCCAGTGTACATCTGTACATACAGTCTACATCTGTACATACAGTGTATACCACTCAACTATATCTCCAGCCTATTTAGTGACCTTTTAGTTTTAGACAAGATTGCACTAAATTGCCGAGGCTGGCCTTGAACTGCAGTCCTTCATCACCCTCTTAAGTAGCTTGGATGACAGTAATATTTAAAGAAAGCTTAGAACCCAGGCCAACAGGGCCCCATGAGTCTGAGGGCCGCCTCAGCCTCAGCACAGGCTGCTTTCTCTTCTGCTCTCATGCATGTTACCTTGTCACCAGACTTCTGCCCGCTTGTCTTCTTCTTACCTTGGCCTTTATACCTTGGTATCTGAGCATGAGAATAAAATGACATTTTACCATAAAACATAAATCTTTAAAATTAACTAACTCATTACCAAACTAGTGATGACTCCTACTAGACAGACTCTGTAGATGGACAAGCTAACTCTAGGCTGCTGGCTCTCAACCATCAGCCTCTTTCTGTGTATGCAGCTGGCTCCTTTCCACTGCTCTAGTTCCACTCCACACTGGCCTAGAGAGAGTCCCAGGCAGCTTGCTGAGGGCTTGTCTGGCATGACTCCACCTCCTCAGAAGCTTGTAAAGCTAATCCTTGGCTACAACTTCCCAGCATCCCTCACACTCACACTCTGTGGGCTCACAAGGTGGCTGAGGACTAATGGGGGGGGGGACTTTAGCTTATCCAATGGAGTTGATAATCAAGGATGTATTTTTGACAGACCCCAGCCCCTGCAGCTAGTAAGGATCTTAAGGTATTTTAAGAGGCTACTCCAATCTCAGCTCACGACACAGGAGACTACACTGAAAAGAAATGAAAGGTGGCAGACATGTGTTGTTCCCCAAACTAGGAGAGACACGGCCCTCTCTACACCAGACTTTGAGACTGTTCTGTAAGAATTTATAGCAACATTTCTTAAAACACTTTGGAATATCATCACAACTCTAAAATATAGCATGCAGTAACAGATTTCATTATGGTTTTTCTTGAGGATAAATTTTACATGGAATGTCAGTACCACTCCTAAAAATAATTCATGAGGAAGTGGATTTCCAAGCAGTTCAATGCCTCAAGTATTGATACATATTTTTGGAATGTTGTTTTTTCTAATATTTGACATTTTCATGGAAAATATGTTTCTTCTACAGGCTCTTTTTCATCATGTATAGGGATCTGTAAAAGTTACTCATGACCTGATATCACCAGGGTTACAGCTTTCCGTAAGCATCAAGGGAAAGAAAAATCTTTAAACACTCTTAGCTGAAAAGGCCTGGCCGTCTCAGGGGAGCCACACTAACAGAAGAACCCTGCTGGCTACAAATAGGAAATTTCTAGCTTTGGCTTTCAAAACTTAAAAAGGAACAAACTGTCAAAGAACAAGCCATAGGTAACAGCAGTGCCCTGTGCGTGCCTAGGCACTTAGCAGTGTGATCACAAGCTCTACAGGTCACCTTATTTAAAATTCATGTCCTGCCCAGAAGCCACAGGAAGCCTTGTGCTGGGATGGACTCCACACCACCTTTCTGTCCCCATGGAAGAGCACAGAGTACAATGCTGGGCTCTGATTAACTGAAGTGCAGCCTACCCACCTCCTAAGAACCCTGAGTATGTTGAAAGCCCAACCCTAAGGTAGTGAGAGTGTAAGAGGGGCTTCTGGGGAGTAACTGGATCAAGAGTGGAGCACCTGTGCATGGATTACAGGCTTACTGGGCTTCCTTCTCCTCCCACCACACAAGGATGTGTACAAGGTCCCAGCAATGGGGTGTACACCAGATACCAAACCTGCCAGTGCCTCAGTCTGTGAGGAATCAGTGTCTACTGTCATAAGCCACACCGCCTGTGGTAGTTCACAACTAAGATAGGACCCAACCCATTATTTCACAGGACAACTAGAATCAATCAGGATGTACTCTAGCCAGCCATGGGAGACCATCACTTTTTCATTACATCTTCTACTATTTAAATATTAACTCCATGTTTTCCTTCTTTGTGTAGTATTCCTGAAATCAGGTATTATCTTTAATACCATGCACACACACATACATACAACCATAGTATACTTTCCTATAAATCTTGTCAAAAATAGTTCATTAATATTTAAATACCACCATGATTCCAAATCTGGCCATCTAAAAGTCTACAAAACTCAACTACAACATTTTATATTCTGGAATCTCATACTCTCCAGCTCAGAGTTTATGCAAAGTAAGAAAAGCCTCCTTATTAATGCAATACAAAAATATTCTAAGTATCAATGTCCTCTGAGATACAAAATTCAAAATTACCAATGACACAAAAGAAGCAACTTAAAAAAAAAAAAAAACTACTTAATTACCTTTAAGAAACTTTAAAATGATTTGTCACAAAAGAAAATTTACAGGTAACAGGTAAGAAGAGCAGAGCCCCAGGTGTCAGCCACAGTGCCCGCCTCTCTGTCCAGCGTAGACTCACCTTACTTGGGGTAGAGTTGGCGCTTATTTTTCCTTCGGGTGACTTTGATGGAGGATGTCCATCAGACAGATCCAATGCACCCTAAAAATCAGTGGAAACTGAAACTGAAGCGTTACCATGCCAATTACCTTCAACATTACCTTAGTATTTAAGAACACTATGTTGACATTCTTCACAAATACCTTTATTAGATTGTCCTCTAATGTGAATACATATATGCCACCTGCAAACTATTTCCAATCACCTGCAAACTATTTCCCTTGGCCACCCTATCTACAACTGTGAGTGCCCGCCCAGTCACCTTTCCATCATGACTTCCTGGTTCCCACGCCCTTCTCTCTCGACTAACGTTAATGACTCTGTGATTCTCAAAGGTGGATTTTCCTTCCCTTCTGTGTTTGCTTCCCGGTTTCATTTTATGTCAACCAAAAATATCTAATTGCTCAAGGAAAGCAACACAGGGCTGGTGAGAGGAGTCCTCCGACCACTGTGTGGACACACTGACCTAATAGTAACAACAATTAGCATGGATGCCTTCCACGCTGAGTGACCCATTTATAACTGAGGCCATGGATAGGTAACATGGTCAAGGTCAACAGCTGGTCTGTCTGGCTCCTGAACACAACATTCTGAGGACCAACAGCCAAGACAGGTATGCAGGTCTATCTGCATATTTTACTTTTAATTAAAATATTTACATACCATCTCAGTCCATTTCGTTTCATTTTAAGGAATACCTTCTTTTTGTGCAAGTCTCAATTCCTTATGCATGCACTCATCTCCATGACTTAGCTAAGCAGCCAGTTACTAAAATAAGAGAGAAAGGGTAGCACAGGGCACTCACTTCCGCATTGGCAGGCCCTTTCTCTTTCTGTTGACAGCGTCGAATCACTTCTAACAATAAGGGTCCACCTACAGTGCCTTCTGCTTCAATGATACCCAAATCTCGGGCTAAGTTCTCCCGACCTTCAAGACCTTGAAGCTAGAAAAAAAGATTTAGGTGTGGAAAATATAGCAGAAGCAGTCAGGTGAGAAAGAATTTTAGGGACTTAAAGACATCTCTAAAGTCAAAGAGGCTAACTGTGTATCCGAATGAATTTTGGCCATTTTACACAGAACATCTATGTGTAAGGTCTCCCCCGACAGCTGCAGTGTAACATCTTAGGAGGATCAACTCTACAGGAGCATTCCTTTCTTAGAAGCTTCAAGTTACACAAACCAACTCCGGCAGCTTTTAGAAACACAATCTAACAAACACAAGAAATAATCTAAATGTAAGCAACAGTGGAGTGTGCAACATCCTTAACTTTCAGCTCAGTATTCACTCTGCAGAGATTTCACAGGATAGACGCAAAACCATTTTTCTTACTGTACTAGTTTCAGGATGGAAAACAGCCAAAGTGAAGTCAAGGTTAAAAAACTGAAGAAATTCTGCGACGAGACTAGCCACTAAACGACCTGTAAAGACCAAGAAAAAGACTTGTGAACAAAGCCCGGAGAACTCTCACTTTTCTTTGTGGCCTAAAGCATTCTATGGGAAGAATTAAGTTTCTAAATTCTTTAAAATCAAGTTATTTCTTCTCTGATTAATTCATTTACGTACAAAAATCCCAGTCTTCCCATTTTCTTTTTCCATTTAGGATCAGCAATCTGCAACTGTAGGATTTCATAAATAGACCTCAGTGTTTGACTTTCTGTACTAAGTCAGACACAGTGTTATACTCCTATATAAAGCCAGCCTTGCGCAAGGAGGTCACTGAGGGTTAGAGGCCAGCATGAGCCACAGAGGGATACTATTTTTCTCCCAAATATCGACAGAATTTTAAAACTCAGAGGCAGATGCAATAAATAAACACAAGAATAACATCTTACCATCTTTTGTATTTAAAAACTTTTTCAAGCTCTCATTGACCAAAGGAGTTTTGTTCTGTTAAAAATAAGAGAAATATTTTAAGTGTTAATATGTTTATCCTAAAGTAACTAAAAAGCATACATTAATGTTCTCTTTGTCCCACTGCCGAAGATTATTATTAGTAAGTGAGCAAACAGAAAGTGGAAAGTACACCCTCCAGAGTGGACAGCAGACTAAACTGAGTGTCAACGGCCACGTTTACTTTTAACAAAGACATAAAGAATATATACATTGCCATTCATAAACATGGTTTCATGAAATCCATTTTATAATTGTTTACTTAGAATAGGACTTGCTTTGTGCTACTTAATAACTTTTCAAGTTAATGAAACTAAATCTCACATGAAGATATTTATTCTCAACTTTTTAAATCATTTTTTCCTTTGCTGGGGACTGGATTCAAGGCCTTGCACATGACAGGCAAGAACTCTATACCTGCTTATACCACCTGTATCTTCAACATTTCACAACTTAACTGCTTTTGAAATCATTTATCTACGAATATTTATGTGGTATTACTTTAACTCTGTATTTCAAGTACATGCAATTTGAAATTTATCATCTTAGATATCTACCACTTGCAACATACACATTCTAATTCCAAATTAATCAGTAGTATATGACATGACTTTGTGTGGTCATTGACCAACTTATTTCTTTGGATTACAGATATGAACAAGCATAGTAAAAAACACTTCTTGCAAATGGAGTCTGTGGTGACCATTCAGAGCGAGGCTAAGGTAGGTAACATGATGGGCTTCCTTAGGCAGACTCACATATTGGTGATGGAAATACAGAAAGGCACGGATACTTTGGAAAACAGTTTGGAGGATGTTTGTTTATTTTTAGGTTACCATACCCTCAGCATGTGAGCTACGAATTCTACTCTCAAATATTTTCTCCAAATAAATTCCAGACCCCAGCAAAGATCTGGACATGACCATCACAGTAGCCTTTTCTACAAGTGAAAAACAGGACAACTCGAAGGTGACATCAAAGCGTAGATGGCTACACAAATGATCAATAGCCACTCAATGACAAATGGGACAACCTAGATTTCCTGAAATCAGGATTAAATGGAGTAATAACATACACTACTGCATTATGCTGAATAAAAGATCCTAGGCCTAAAAAAGTTTTCATCAGCCGGGTGTTGGTGGTCCATGCCTTTAATCCCAGCACTCGGGAGGCAGAGGCAGGCAGATCTCTGTGAATTCAAGGCCAGCCTGGTCTCCAGAGCGAGTGCCAGGATAGGCTCCAAAGCTACACAGAGAAACCCTGTCTCAAAAAAAACAAAACAAAAAAACAAAACAAAACAAAAACGTTCCCATCAGTGTGGCTTTGAGCATTATATGATGTTGAGAAGGCAGTTTACAAGGAAATAAGGAAAATTAAAGGATTGTATCCATAGTCTTTTTCCTGGCTGTGCAGTTCACGTCCTGAAAATGTTAAAGTTTATCAAATCTGGCATTTTAAAGTGTGAGTCTACAGAAACAACTGTATCTTGTTAAAATGAAAGAGGGAGAAATATCACACAAGTACATGGTCTAGAGAGTTTAAAACAATTAACTGAACTAGTCAAAGAAAACGGAAGGACAAAATCAGGTATGTACTACAAATGGGAATCCCAGGACAACAAAGACTTGAGAGAAATGATGAGGGGCGCAGACAAAGAGTGAAGAGTTGGAAGCCACTCTAGAAAAGTCATAGCAAGCAAGCCCAAGTAAGACAGGCAGCAGACCCTCCCTCACACACTGTCAGGAGACAATTGGGCAAGGATGGGGCCAGCCTGGAGAACTGGGAATGCCAGTCTATGGACAGTCTAACATACAGGTCTGGAGCTCAGGAGGAGAGGGAGGTATGTACTAAAGATGTGAAGATGAAGTTCTAAGTGGTGCCAAGGTTACCACGGGGAAGCTGCTGAAGCATAAGTACCTATGGTATGCAGGAAAGAGATTTTGCTAAAGAAACTGAGGAGTGGGCAAAAGAAAAACCCAATAGAAAAAAGGCTCCCAAATTCAAAAGATTCCCCACAAGGAAAGAGGAAGTGACATCTGATGCTGGGATGATCGAGTACAGGGAGAACTAAAGTACTTTGAGGATAGCAGTAGTATATTTACATTTTTAATGGAGTAAGAGGTACCTGGTGATAAACAACAGGAAATATGAATATTCTTTCAAATCTTAGTGGTCAAAAAAGTAGGGAAAAAATGAGGAAAAGAAAACTATTTTAAGAGCAATTCAACATTTTCATGCTCAAAAGAGCCAGGAGATTGGAGTAGAGAATACATGGACAATAACACCAGACAAATTATATTTGGCAAGACAGAGCCTTTTTTCTCCTAAAACATGACAGATCCACACAGACACGGGTAATCTTTGCGTGACCTGACAGGTTGGGGACAGCAGCAACAGGACACGGAGTTAGGACCCAGTAACTTCTATTCCACCGAGAGGAAGACAGGCCATCCGAACAGAGTGAAGATAAGAGAGCTAAAGTGAAGGTGACCAGATGGGCACTAAAGGCCCCCACTCCACTCAAGTTAGCACCCCACTCTGCAGCTGCAAGGAGTCATGTGGTGAAGGGACTTTTCTTGGGCAATGCTTACACAGAAATAGGAGGAGGAGACAGTCTGCTGACTTCAAAGCTCATCACTATGTAACTAGACAGCAAAGAAATACGGGTTTCTGAGGTGTGGACAGTGGGATCTAGCCCTGTCAAGAACCAATATGAAAGATGCTGCAGACAAAAAGGCAAAGCAGCAAGAGGCTGAACAGTTAGGGTAGATATGCATGCAGGTCCACGGAGATGGGAGGGATGGGAGGCAGATCCTCCAGCAAGGAGTTATAGGACATTTACTCAGGAAGGTCGCTGGGACTTGGGGCAAACAGAAAAGCCAAGTAACCGTTTAAAAACACGGGTTTTACTGTTTTTTTTTTTCTTGGAGATGCTTTTTATCATAATTGAATGGTCAGATTTTTAACCCACTAGTCAGTTTGGGGACAGGTTGCATTGTCCATTCCTTACCACCAAGACACTCACAGAGTGTACCAGCTTGTTAAAAGTTCAGAGTAAAAACCCTGCAGGTCATTCACTGAGACCGTTTCAAGCAACTCCCATGGGTGAGACCTAGCTATTATGGTCTGCCAGAATTAACTGTGGCACTTGAAGTGCCACCCTAACATGCAAAAACAAACAAACAAACAAACAAACAAAAAAAAAAAACCAAAAAAAACCCCACCACCACCACCAACAACAAAAAACCGGCACAGAAGAAGGGAAAAGAGACGCAATCCTTAACCGTTCCACGTTATCTCCAGCTAGTCATTAAACCATTTCAAATTGGCTTTTTAATCTGTGAGAAACGGGGAGTTTAGAAGTGTGGTCCCGGGCTGGAGAGATGGAAGGCTCGGCGGTTAAGAGCATCGGCTGGCTGCTCTTCCAGATGGACCCGGGTTCAATTCCCAGCAACCCAGAGAACAGCTCACACAAACTGTCTGTGACTCCAGTTGAGAGGATCTGACACCTTTACACCAATGCACACAAAACAAAGTTAAATTCTTAAAAAAAAAAAACAAAAAAACAAAAAAACAAAGAAGTATGGTCCCGGCGAGGTCTGGGAATCGCTTACCTCCACCTTTTCTTGCTCTTCCAGAGCCAAGAACACAGCCGCTCTGAGTTCAGCCTTTAAAGGAAACACACACAAGTCAGTCGGGCAAGCCTGAGGGGAGCCGCCATCTAAGCCACAGGTACGGGCGCGAGGGTGCTCGCCGCGGGCGGCGGCGTGGGGAGGTCCCGGGCCGCT